TGTATCCAAGAACATATATAGGGTTGGCAGACAATGGTCCTATAAGTTTATGTGAATGATCAGAATTCCCAGGTGTATAGTAGAGCTGACAATGGTCAAGGTTGTGGTCACTGCTTGGTCACAGCCAGCTACCCAGAGGGACCGAGTAGTTGAACCTGCGGGCTCAGGACCATAGTCACAGGAAGACATCAAGCTCAACTGGCATAACATACTATACAAAACATTGTTCCACCACCTCCTTTGACGGGTAGCTACTGGCATCTTAAAAGCTACCAAGCAGCCATCTAGATGCAACAATGGGTCTCTCCTCATCCAGAGCAAAGAGGAATGAAGAAAACCAAAATTCATGGAAACAAATAGTCCTAGTGACTGGTACACCATCTGACCTGCAGCCTATGTGACTATGAGACAAGAAGAACTAGATGGTGCACTGCTACCACTGTCAACCACTCAGAGGGGAATCTATGGAGGAGATCCCAGATAGAGAGGGAGAACAATGTGGAACAAAACTCAAAATCATCTGGGAAAAAAAAATGCGGGGGGGGACCAGGTTTGCTGGTCTGATAGAGCCTGGTGGAACCACTGAGACTATGGCCCGTAGCTGCCCTTCAGGTCTGGAATTGAACCCATACCTGTGGTTTCCAACCAAACAAAAGACAAGCATATGAGTTGAACATTTACCTGAGGTAGATACTCTCCTTGGAGAGAACAACCATGGGAGAAAGAAGGGCTGCTTGTGAACAGGGAGACAGCTCTGGGGCAGGAGTGCATGGAAGGATGGACACAGGGAAGAGGTAACTATGGGGATGCAGTGGGAGGGGAGCTGATAAATTGTGGTAAACTGTGGTCAATGTCATGAGACAGAGTATATGTGAACCACTGTATGTAAAGTGTATTTGCGCTGTAAACCTTCACCCAAATCACAATTTAAAAAACAAAAAAAACTACTGGAATAGAGAGGTTCAGAAAAGTGGCAGGATACAAGGTAAACATACAAGAATCAGTTGGACTCCTCTACATGAACAAAGAGTCCTCTGATAAAGAAATAAGGGAAACAATACCATTTACTATAGCTACTAAAAAGATAAAATATCTAGGAATAAACCTCACCAGACACAAATAACCTATACAAAGAAAACTATAAAACACTGCTACAAGAGACAACAAGGACACTACATAAATGGAAGAATCTACCTCGTTAATGGATAGGTAGACTGTTGTTGTTGTTGTTGTTGTTATGTGCCGTCTAGTCGGACCCGACTCATAGTGACCCCTCCTTGAGTTTCCAAGGCAGATCACTACGGAAGTAGATTGCCCAATCTTCCTTCCAAGGAGTGGCTGGTGGGTTTGAACCTCCAGCGTTCTGGTTAGCAGACAAGTGCTTTAGGCACTATGCTACCAGAGCTCCCAGTTGGTGCTTTTGAGTTGTGGTGTTGGCAAAGAATGCTAAAAGTACCATGGTCTGCTGAAAGGACTAACAAATCTGTCCTGGAGGAAGTGCAGCCAGAATGCTCCTTGGAAGCAAGAATGGCGAGACTTCATGTCACCTACTTTAGTCATGTTATCAGAGGGATCCAAACCCTGAAGGAGGGTATCATGCTTGGTAAAGTGGAGGGTCAACAAAGAAGGGGAAGGCCCTCAATGAGATGGACAGACACAGTGGCTACAATGATGGGCGGAGGTATAGCAAGGATTGTGAGGCCGGCACAAGACCAGGCAGCGCTTCCTTCTGCTGCACATGGGTTGCTATGAGAGAGAGAGAGAGAGACAGAGAGAGAGAGAGATTTATTTCAAGGAAATGGCTCACATAAATGTGGAGGCTAGAGGCTAGCAAGTCCCAAATCCCCGGGTAGGGCATGAGGCTAAAGGCTTCTCTTGACTCACACAGTAGCAGGGGTTGATGAACCCAAAATTGGCAGGTGAGGCAGCAGGCCATGGCTCATGTCCCAAAAAGAAGAGGTCAGAGGGTGACAACTCAGATGCAGAATCAAGATCAAGAGCAAGTGTGCTTTGCCAGCACATCCATATGTATTGGAATGCAGGCCACACCCACAAGGAAATTCTTCTTTCAACTGACTGGCTGCTCACATCAGATCAAAAAGTGGAAGATGATTACATACTACCTCCCAAATTACTGAGAATCATGGCCTAGTCAAAATGACACATAATCTTAACCATTACACTATTTGTCTTTGTCATTCCCAGCACAGTAAAACCATGATTGCCCAATTCAAAATGGCCAATACCAGTCCACTGCAGCACACTAACACCAAGGTTATCAATTTTCAAGCATTTCATTTCATTTTTCATGACTCCCAATTTTCCTGGATTCATGCTCTATACATTCCACATTACAATTATTAATGGATGTTCACAGAAGTTTATTCACATTTTGAGTTGTGCCAAATCAGCAAATGAAGGTCCTGAAAGCTTTACACCATCCATGTTATGAAGGCGAACTCTATTTTGAGGAAGCAGCTCTTCTGCAGTCATATTCTGAGGGCCTTCCAACCTGAAGGCCTTATATTCCAACAGTATATCAAATAATAGTTCTCTACTATCCTTAAGGTTTTCACTGGTCAATTTTTTTAGAAATAGATCACCACATCCTCCTTCTTAGTCTGTCTTAGTCCAGAAACTCTGAAACCTGTCCACATGGGTGATCCTGCTGGTATTTAAAATACCAGTGGCATAGCTTCCTAGCATCACAGCAACCCATAAACCACCATAGTACAACAAACTGACATATGAGTGGTGGGAAATGAAAATATAACATATCAAACTTTATGAAAAAGAAGTACAAAACATTAGGAACGTTCATAAGAGGGGTATTTGACCTTAACAAGGAAGTTGACAAAGGCTTCCTTAAAGCAGTTGTTATTTGAACTGAGATCTGGAAGATGAATGGGAATTAACTAGGTGAATAGGAGTGAGAGGAGCATGCTGGGTAGAAGGAATAGCATGTGCAGAGGCTTCATGGCAGAAGGCCACACACAAGCCAGTCTAGCTGAAACAACTCATAGGATTGGCAAATAAAGTCTAAGAAGTAAATAAAACCATATTTGGATAGAATATATAATGAAGAGAAGGACAGACTAGGCCCGAGCCTTAAAAAACTCTAGTATTTAATGGATAGATAGAGAAAACTGAGCCTCAAAAAAAAGAACATCAAAGAAGCATCCAAAACACAGAAGAAAGTTCTACATATAGCCTAAGGAAGAGGTGTTTCAAGAAAGAAACCAATACTCTTAAATGCTACTAAAAGGCCAAGCAACATGAAGATCTAAAAATATCTGTTGGATATAGTAACAGGGAGGTCACTATTGCTATTACTTCTTAGCAAACATCGTTTCTCTACAGGTGCTTTAGCATAACTTGTGAGAGGTGGAATAAGAGGTGGAGGGGGTAGAGGAAATTCACAGTTTTATAGGATAAATCCAATTATGTAAAATGTCAGTGTGTGTACACATTCTGCACACACAAAAGATGGAATAAATATACCAAATAATAAATGAATTGAGATTATGATGACTTTTTTCTCATTTAAAATTTTTTAATCTTACTACTTTTTTAGAATAAACAAATACTACTTAAAACTAAAACCAAATTCATTGCCGTCGAGTCAGTCCCAACTCATAGCGACCCCTC